AGAGGATCCAAATTACGCAATTTCTTAGCAGACCCACCACCAAACCACTTCCTCTTCCCATCAATCAATATATCATCAACAGAATTATCACCTGTCAGCTATGTAGACTTTGACATTTTATCATCATTCTCTTTCAAAGTAGTCTGAGACATAGAAAATAAACAGAATATATCAACTAGAACAGAATTAATTGCTGAAGGGGGAGGAGAAGGTCCCCACTACTCTCCAAGCACTATTTAAGTCAGTCTGTTTCACCTGATCAAATAAACATTTTTTTTTTAAATAGGGAAGGTAGGATGGTTTAAAGGTAATTTTAACAGAAATTAAAACCTGCTTAACTACCACCAAAGGTATCAGAGAACTTCAATATATTTTGCTTTTACTTTGACATGCACTAATTTTCAAATCAAAAAGGCCAGAATATAGGTAAAAAAAAAAAAAAAAAAAAAAGCAACAAATTAAAAATACAGATCTTTTCTTTTTAAATCCAATTTAAGAGACTACAAATGCAAGGATTTTAAACAGTGAGGGAGACAAGTGTAAGAAAAACTGAAGAAAATTGCTAAATGTTTATCATTTTCTTTCTTTAATTCCCTAAATTATCTTTTTTTATGATTGAGTTACCATTGTTTTTTTTTTTTTTACTGCAATGGAAGTATACTTACATTATGAATGATATTGATTTCCTTGAACTACAAATGATCACTTGAGGTTCATTATCTCATCCCACAATTTAATTATGATTATTTACATGTATTAAATGCATCTCAATCATTTAAATTCATACATTTTAACTTTGTCATAAATTATAGATTTTATTAATAAAAATATTTTAAATATATAGTTTGCACATTATTATTATCATCATCATTATGGCAACAACAATAATGTTTGGAAATATAATTAGAATCAGCCTTGTTTTAAGATCAACCTCATTTTAGCTTCATCATTCATCCCCTCCCCAAAAATAGTTATAACTTTACTTTTCTTGCTGGTTACATTCTGTGAATATGAGTCTTTTAACACAATCATTAAACCCAAGTTATCCATTTCCTAGTAGCAGAAGACATTAAATCATTTTCTCTCAAATGTAGAGAGTCAGAAGAGGACGGAAGTGATAGCAATCATTAACAAGGGAAGTAACTCCATTATTTCCATCAGTTTCCAAATCCATCAAGTAGGAAAATGGAAAAGCTAAGTTAAGCAAATGTGACAAATAATTCTTGAGGTTGTCTTGTGTCATTACTAAATAAAAAAAAATCGTAAGTTAGCTGACTTTTTTTTTAAATCATTAAAGAATAAAAAAAAATATTAAAATATACTTTACAATAATTTTTCTTAATTTTTAAACATTTCTTTTCATACTTATTCTTTTGCAATACAAAATAATCTTTAATAAAAACTAATAATTTATTACAAATTATATGAAAAAAAAATCGTAAATGATTAAATTATAATTACTTTTAATATTTTCTAAAGCTAAACGAACAAAAAACAGTTCTTGGTCTTTAAACTTATTTTTCAATTATTGTTGAGTCGAGATAGACAGATAAAAAATTCACCAACACTTTATATAACATACAGACACCTCCCCAAATTTTCTTCATTTAGCATCTTAAAAAAAATAAAAATAAAAAAAATTTGAAAGATTTTAACAAAAGCTTTGAATCTATCTTTAAGCCTTAATTTTTTTTTTCCAAAACTGGACATCAATGCAAATATAAAAGAAAAGCAAACAGACAAATATATAATTTTGAAAACAAGTTTACTGCAGTTACGTTTTACTTTTATAAAATTATGAGATACTGATAGAAATAAAGAAAAGCTGGCATGTTAGGTGACTTAATTTTTTATTATTATTAGTATCGTCGTCAAAATTTACTTTTCACTTATATTTTTCTTCAAGTTTAAATATATTTAAAAATGTTATACCCAAATAAGTTCAGAATTAAAATGAAATAAAAACTCATAAAAATAAGCTATACATCGTCAATGGCGGAAGATAGGTAAGGGAGCAAGGGGAGATAACTTTTGCAGGAAATAGACAAACAAATGGACACACAAGCCAGGGACATAATTTATTGGGTTCACTGAAGAATCGAACCGTTGAGCAAAAACAATCAGAAAAGATCATTTAATACTCAATTCCTTTTAATCTGATAATCTGTTTAGCTAACCACCGAAAGATTAGCCTTGATGACAGATTAATAATCAAGCCATTGTCAGATTACAAATGGATATTTCTCTCATACAACTGAGAGTAATTAAATCTTATTAGCTTTGTAATTTTAAGAGTTTAAATAATTATTACTAAATTTATAAATAGAAAAGCGTTATATAATGTAATGCTTCTTACCAAAGAGTTTATTAATTTTAATATAGAAAGGAAATTTATTTTTACTTTTTAAATTCTGAAATGTTTTTGTATATAGTCCTTGATGATGATGATAGTTCTTATTGCCATAATCATCATCCTCATCAATTACATGACATATAATTAATTAATCATAATTAACGTAGTTGTGATGAGGAGGATAAAGACGAGCACAGGAAAGTGATGAGCAAATCATAGATTGAATAAGAAAAATTAAAAAGAAATTCAACAATAAAAAGACAACAAAAAAAATTATACATTAACCCATTGTACCCAAAATCCAACATGATTAGAGATTGAAGAAAAAGTCTGAAAAATTCTTTTCATCAAAGATAAATTGGCTTTTCTACAGAAACACTAAGAACAAATTTATTTTTTCATATTAATATCAATTAGGCACTCCAGATCACAAATATTCGAAAAAAAAAAAAAAAAAAAAAAAATTATTTTTCTGAATTTTCAGTTTACTAATGTAAATTCATTGCTAATTGATCTGCCAAAATAAATACAGATAAGAGAAAAGAAATCAAATAAATTTTAACACATATATATATATATATATATATATATATATATATATAGAGAGAGAGAGAGAGATAGATGTGTGATGTGTGTGTGTGTGTATATATATATATATATATTATAATTACAGATAAAGGGAAAAATAAAAATCAGGGAGGAAAAAAATAAATTAAGTTTCAAAAAATTATAATAATAATAATAAAGAGAAAATTTAAGTAAAAATCAACCTTAAATTCATATTTCCTAGCATTTTTTAAATTATTTAAAATATTTTATGTATTATTTTAACATGATACAGAGTAAAGGTAAGTATGAATCTGTTTTAAATAAAATAAATATTAAAAAATTTTTTTTGAATTATTTGAAATTCTGTAAAGTTCACATGGTATATTAGGAGGGTGCATAGACCAATGAATTTACATCACAAAATGAAACCCCACTTAAAATTTAGAAAATTAAAAAAAAAAAAAAAAAATTTGGATATTCATGATCTGAGGTACTTAATCAATAGTAACATGAAAAAAAAAAAAAAAAAATTTTAAATGGTTATTTCTAGGAGAAGTGGATTTCTGGAGGAACGCTAATAAGTTAGTTTAAAAATAGTTAGTGAATGAAGTTCCGATTTTGGAAGCCAAACCCAGATTCCAGAAATTTAGGATTCTTCTTCACATATCCTTTAAAGTGGCCCTTGAGTGCAATGGCTTTTAAATTTGAAAAAAAAAAAAAAAAAAAATATATTAATCAGGCAACACAATATGCATTTGTTACAATTATTATGTGACTTGAATATCTTTTTTTTATGCTGAAACTGTGTTGCAGACAATACATACAAATGATGGCAGATTAAGTGGGTCCAAAAACAATGGAACAAAATGCAGAAGCAAAACATGTCCAAAGTTATAAGGGTAAAAAAAAACAAAAAAACATGTGCCCTGACAGCACTGAAACCAAATATACTCCCACATTCCACATGGACTGAAACTGCCTCAAATGGTCCAATTAAATATGTGTGTGTGTGTGTGTGTGTGTGTGTGTGTGTGTGTGTGCGTGTTTTCTTCATTCTTCAAGTTATGTCATGTAACGTGAAGGCCATTCTTTATTCCCAGGATTGGATTTTAAGCCGTTTTAAAATCATAGAAAATAATTTTCAAATAACTACACTGACCAAAATGCAAGTTAAGCAAAAATTAAGTTTAAAAATTTTACAGAAGGTCATCTATGAGAAAGTTTCCCTACAGTCAACAATGGCATACATACACAACAGTCACACCGGCAAGTTTATGACTCAAAGATATACCATTGTCATCAACTGTAAAATGTTTCATCTTAATTAAATATTTAATCTTAACTTTTTAATTGCGATTAGTTGTTATTTGATATTTGTTTTCTTTAACTTCAAAAGTTTTTAAATGTCATTTAAAAAAAAGTTAGTTATTAAAAAAGAGCTTTACGTTTGTTATTTTTTTTTTTTTAATTATAGGTGGAAGAAAAAAAAAAAAATATCGCTTTTTTTTTCTTAATTTATGGATAAAAGAGGAGAATGTTACCTCTCCTCTTTTTTTAATGTGTAAAGGAAAATATTTTATTTAAAAAAAAAAAAAAAAATAAAAAAGATGCTGAGTTAGATGAACAACAGCCAACCTGTCAATTGAGCTCAATGATTTCAAATTTAATTTTGAATTCCACTTAAGCATCAGAATGACCATCTTTTTTTTTTCTTTCAACTTGAATATTTTACAACCAACCCTGATATCAGAAAAAAAGGAGAGAAAAAAAATTTATATTATATATATATATATATATAATAAAATTGGAATTATTATGTCAGTTTCATCAGAATTATTTTCATAAAAAGGTGATTTTTTTTTTTCATAAAGAATTTTGCATTGATATTTTTCTCATTCCCCCACCCCATCAATCTTCATTCTTAATTTTTTTTTTTTTTCCCAGTCCACCATAAATCTTCCTTTATTTTTTTTATCTCTTCTACTTATTTCATCTTTCCCATGAGACTTTAATCTTCAAATCGATGTTTAGATTTACTCATTCGCTTGTGGTAGTTCTGTGCCATTGAGTTTATTATTGACAACATAAAATAGATCACCATTAGCAACACTGCTTTCTCGAATATAAATGACAATGGATTGTTTCCCTGAAAAATAAAAATATAAATTAATTTTTAAAGACAAAAAGAGAAATCAAGATATATTTAAAATAATATTCAAAATCAACAATAAAACAATTTCAAAGTTTCTTAATAAGTAAATAAAATAATTTCAATTCGTATTTATTCAAAATTCGTAACTTTTTGCTAAAATAGTTATCTCCCTTGCAGATGGTGGTGTCTTTATGACAGTTCATTTAAGTGCCATACGTAATACACACTTAGGCAATCATGTATCTTTTGATACATGACTGACAAGACAGATTTTTTTTTTCCCCCCGCAGTAAGTTTCCATTTCTTTCTTCAATAGACTGGTTGCCAACCAAGGTTAAAGAACCCAGTCTGTATTACTATTAAACCCATAGCTGGAGAAGAAGAGATGGATTCATATATTTCCCAAGAATATTTGTGCCTAAGTGAATCTAACAAACTCGACTGGAATTCGAACTCTGCTCCCCGAATTCTCACTCTGAGCTGATAGTGATACAAGAACAATAAAAATATGTTTAAGAGTTTAACCTTTATGCCAACAAAAAGAAAACTGTGTGTCAAAAGGACAGTTATTCCCTTGACACCACCATTATTGTATATACTTTTAAGTCCCTAAGCAAAATTTATTTACAAAATTATAAAAATATGTGAACCAAGTACAAGACAATATTTATCATTTACTTTTTATAAAGATTTATTATTTACTATTTTATCAAGAAATAAATTTGAAAAGAAATTTTTTTTTATTAAAAATTATAAAAAATTACAAAATTATCAAAATACATAAACCAACTACAATGCAATATTTATGGCAAAAGTTACAGAATCCTGTAATGATACACAAGAAAAATTATGTCCACCCAATGAATGGGGAGATATACACTCAAAATATTGAGTGTCTAGGGTCTCTATGATGTCTACCGTATTCAAGCTTGATCCCCTCAGCCGATCGTAGAGTTGATTGCTTCGGCCCAATCTTGTCTCGCCCTCACATTGTGTTAATTCACCGCAAGACTGATTTGGTCCAAATGGTTGACTGTAATTGATGACTTGATTTGATCAGGTCAGAGTAAAGTCACACAAAAAAGAAAAAAATAAGTTGGAAAAAGAAATATTTATATGCAATTCCTCAATACAAAGTTGATGTTACAGTCATGGATGGCTTAAGCAGGCCTATACACCCCATGCAATAACTCTCAACCCTTTCTGATTATCATGATACACTATTTGTTGTTAGAATTTTGGAACAAGAGTTCTGGAACAAGGCTTCAAGTCGGAGGCTTTTTCTTCAGAGTGGCAAGTCACATGAGATCAGGCGAAGTGGTGGTACTCTGCTCTCTCTGCAGTCTCTCTACCAGAGTCGGTCTACTGTGTCTCCACCATCTCTGTCTCTCTCTGCCATAGTATCTCAGCATTCTGTTTTCATGGACCCCTGCACAAGGGTTGGGGTTGGGTATGATGTACTCTGGGAATGCCTACATTCCCCAAACAACCAATCAGGGCTCTCCCTGCAGATGTCTAAATATGGGGGAGTCCCTCCTCCTTCCTTGGAATTCTACCTGGTCATCTGATCAAAACCCTCTCTCCTTCCTGCTTTGTGTGAGTGCCTCTCACCATCACTACCCAAGGTGCGTGGAAAGTCTTCTGCCTTCCCTTAAATTCCACCTGGGATCTCTTCTTCATCAGCTGACCAAACCAGTCCCCTAAGGGCTAGGTGTGGTCTAGCCCAACAGTCAAATTTTAATTATTGTTCAAAATTCTTTCTTATTGTGCTTTTGTGTGTAGTCGTTTTCACATCTGGAATTTATCATTTTTTATTCCATTGTCAAACCTTTGGTCAACAAGTGGCAAAATGGGAACAATCCCTTGATTTTGAGATGTTTTATCACATTTGGGTAAACAAAAAATATATCTATCATTTTCTTATCTATTTTCTGCTAGAAACTTGTCTGCTTCTAAAATTTAATCCTTATCAATCGACCAAACTTGCAGCCAGAAGTCCATCTTCCTCTTTATCACACAATGGTTGTAAAAATCTTATTTATTTCTTTCCTTGGACCTCCAGCATAGCTCGTCACATTGTCTCAGTCCTAATCAAAATCAGATGGTCTCTTTGTTTTACATCTCCAGCAGACGAGAAATTTAATTACCTTCTATTTTTTTTTTTCAAGAAAAAATATACTTTTCTTCCATTTTCTTTCATCAGGTCATCAGTATGTCTTCAGTCTATCAGAATTTAGTGTTTTTTGGTCTTCTAGTTCTTTCTCAATTAAAAACAAGTATCCCTTTCTTTCATTTTCCTTCATCTGGTCATCAGTATATCTTCAGTCTATCGGAATTTAGTGTTTTTCAATTTACTAGCGCCTTTTCGATAGTGTCACATCTCACTTAAAATCTAAAATTAAAAGAATGTTTGATTCAGAGGAAGAGACACTCTAAACATATTTTGGTGAATGTATGTGGTGAGAGCAAATGAAAGAAATGCCACAAAAATTTATTTTGCTCACAGGAATTTTTATAAATTTATGAAAAAAAAAATAATTTCTCTTCATATTTACTTCTTTATAAAACGATAAATAATAAATATTTCATTATAGTTTGCTCACATATTTTTATAATCTCATAGATCTGAATTATTCTTGTAAATAAGCAATCTAATAAATAAATAGTGTTTAACATCTTTGTTGTCATTTCTCAAAAATAAAGAAAATCTATAAATCCACTTTCATATGTTTGGATTTTATTAAAATTCTAACTATCATACTTTGAAACAATAAACATTACCAGGGGAGTCAAAAGTGTATACAATAATAGCAGTGTCAAGGGAATAACCATCCTTTTGACAAACATTTTTTTGCGGAAAAGACATTTAAACATTACCAAAAGATGTTTATATAGCACCCAGGGTGAAAAAAAGAGAGGGTACAAGAATAATTTAAAATACATAAAGAGTCCGCCAAAAAAATGTATACACACTTCAGAAAAATTAAATTGTGATTATTAAATTGTGATAACACTGTTTACGGGGGGTTTTAAGGATGTTGTGTATCACAGAAAACTGACTACATTGGCTGCCCTTAGACAAAAAAAAATTGAAAATGCATGTGAGGCAATTCCACTAGACACTTTGGCCAACATTGCTCAAGCAGTAGTTCGACGTACTAATAAATGCCCAAGCAGTAGTTCGACGTACTAATAAATGTCTGGAAGCTAAAGGACACCATTTTGAGCATCTCTTGTGATTATAGAGGTTAAAAGTAACTTGTATTAATCTTGTGATGTCTGAATAAATTTAGTATAAGAATATTTATACAAGTTTTTCCTTTCCTGAACTGTGTATACATTTTTTTTGTGGACTATCTCCAGGTAAGATTAGAACGAATAGAAAACAATTCCAACGTTCGTAACATTTAATTTAAAAGAGGGCTCAATACAAAGTAGGGCAATAAAAAAAGTGTGTGTGTGTGTGTGTGTGTGTGTATATATATATATATATATATATATATATATATATATATATATATATATATATATATATAATTGAAGACTCACATGTGAAAACCTTTTAATAGTACTAAAGAAACTAGGCAGTCTTTTTTTTCTTTTTTTATAACAGGTAATTTAATATTAACATAAGATTCAATTTGACATAAAGTGGGAGATCGGTTTTCTTTTGTCATTATGTCACAAACAGATAAGTCTCAGAAAAACATATTAATAAAATAATTGAAAATATATGCATCTATCTATATATAAAATTCTGAGACTTCCGTTAGACAGTCCGTCCTCCTTCACACCCTCAAACATAACCATTTCTTGACTGATCAAAACCAAATTTTGGAGAGAAATGTAGCTATGTAATAGAGTACAAAGTACACTTAGTTTTAGTAGGGCACAGAATTTAGTATATAAAATTCTGTGACTTCCATTAGTCTGTCCATCACACCCTTTAAAATAGCCATACATTGACTGATTGAAACCAAATCTTGCGGAAAAGTACAAACAGGTAAGGGGAATACAAAGTACATTTGATTTTACTAGGGTGCATATCTTAGTACAATAAATTTTCATTAATATTTTTGGAAAAATTAAGTTTTATTATTTAACACATAAAATATTCCCATTATGTTCAAAACAATTTAATGATTAAAATGACAAATACTTATTTAATAAAAATGGAATATTGTTTTTGGCATATCTTTTCTTTAAGTTTTTATATATACAAGAATTCAGTTTCAAATTTGCCCTGCATTTGTGAAAACTATAAACAAAGCACAAGGCCAAATGCTTCAAAAAATTGGAATTTAGCTCCAGAAAGAAATATTTACATATGGCCAGTTATATATTGTGTGCTCAAGAGTAAGAAATCGTAAGAATTTATTCTCCACTGTTAAAAAGGAAAAAAGAAATTTTCTTGAAAAATATTGTTTACTATGAAGTCCTATAAAATTAAACTAAAAGAAATTATTAAACCACAAAGTAGCATTTTTGTCAAACAAATCATCTTATTCAAATTTCATCAATTAGTTTGTGAAATTGAACAAAATGTAGAGTTTGTAAATCTCGACAAAAAATGTTAGTGATAACTTCAACAATACTAAATACTGTGAGGATTTCAACATGTCAGCATGCTGCAAAAAAATTCTATTATTTAAAAAGTACCGCATGAAATCCTAACAATAGGAAGAACTTAAATTATGAATTTTGTATATTTCTGACAGAATGATTAAAGTGAGTTTCTGCAACAAATATAGCAATCCCTGCTTGCATGAGAAGTAAGTTAAAATTTCAAATTGCTGTCGCCAAGCAAAAACAGTCATATATACAGAGTGAATATCTAGAAGAGTCACAGTGTCAGAGTGGAACTACTGTAAACAAAGACTGCTGTAATATTACACTTGTACATGATGCATCCCTCCTTACCACAGGTATCATTCATATGCAGGTAACATAACAGTCATCAACACAAAGTGGAATTGGCAAGTGAAGTTAATATTTCCATATAGTTGCCAACTGCATTCACTTTTGCACTAATGCTCTTGGGAAAAGCACAAATTTGTTTCTTCTCTCACCAGCTATGTGTTCAATGGTATAGTAGCTATCTAGCCTTGATTGGCAGCCAGTTTAGGAGAAGGACAATTCTGATTTCAAAACCATAGAGAAAGCAACAAGTAACCACTCAACTATCTTTACCAAGAAGTCACAGCAATTCGCAGATAATAAAGAAAAGGGTGCTGTGAAGAGCCATGACCACCTAAATCCTGAAGAATTATGGCATTTTAAAAATCAGGAAAAATTGATAAAGAATATTTTCCTTGGTACACATGCATGGTAAATAAAAACAATTTAATTCAACTCAGCTTCAACATCTATAACCTAAGTAATTGATGTAATGGAATAACCTGTCACCCCCATCAATGACTACACTATAAGTAGTAACTACCTATAAGTATCCATAAGGCAATGGACTACAGGAGTTTAGCTGGGATCTGTTGAGTACAACTCAAACTTACGCAAGAACTACCAACCTTCCAATAGCAGCACTCACTACTGGATTGACTTGCGGTGATCGTGCGTATAACTGTTACCTTAGTTCTTATTGTACTGGTTTTTACAATAAACCTTTACTTATTTATCCACCATGTTTGTCAAGTATATATTCCTATTTGCATGGAATATAACAGGAATATTATAGAGTTACAATTTTAATCAAAATGTTTATTCTTTTCCTTTCATTCATTCAATTTTTTTTTTTATTTTGAAAAAAATAAAATTAAAAGATTTATATTGTTTTTATGGCACATCACTCAACTAAATAAAAATTAAACAAATTTCCATTTTCCCACCTTTTTGATATCCAAAGTTTAATAAACATTCTGAGAAAACCTTTACCATATCATGAAGAAAGTTGACAAATGCTAGATTCTATGCAATGCAAAGGATTCAAATCTTTCTTTTATTTCATAGCCCCAATCACAACATTGCATCCCCAATACAAAAAAAAAATGATTACCAAAAAGATGGCTCTGGTAATCACTGTAAAATTCAAGATTTATAAATTGTCTCTAATATCTATTTGTTCATTTTCCAAAATTATTTCTTCTCAAAAACAATGCATCAAGAAAATTAACAGACAAAAATTTCCATGAACAGTTATGTCTGCTGACTTCAGTATAGAACTTTTCTCTTTTTAATAAAAGGAAACTTCCTTACAACATCTGAAATTTTTTTATAATTTCAGTTATTCCTCCATTATTCAACATTATGAAAATATTCTACAAGAATTAGATTTCCTTAAAACAAAGGTAGTCAAGTGTAATATCAAAGTTGAAGATGGATTAAAAAAATTAAATTCAATAAACTGAAAATATTAAATATTGATTTTTTTAAAAAATATATTTAAAGAGTAATCTCCCTTGAATAAACATCTTCACAAAACTAAAAATAGTGTTTTGATCGAGTTTTTCTTTCATTTTGTTGCTGCTAATCACATCAACAATTGTTATCTTCTACAATCGTTTTCAAATAAGTAGACTAGATCGAAATTACAGTAGCAGCCCCCACTGCGATTTGATCTATATCTATGTACGCACTTGACAGAGATTTTGCAAGTTATTTTCAAAGAATAATACTCTTGTGTTAGATTTTCATGGGTGGTCTACTTTTGTAATCCTGTGCCAGACTTGAATGTGTTTAATAAAAACATACAAAAATGTTTCAAAGAAAATAATTCTTCTCCTCCCCAAACTTTTGTTTTTAATTTATCAAATGGCTTACCTCACTGACTTTAGGGTCTGGATTGTGAAGTTTATTTTTCTGTTGTTCCAACCATTTTAGAAATGGTGCCTGTGTGTAGGAACCAATGAAAGGGATAAACCTAAAAGAAAATTCATTAATAATTTTAAATTTGCAATCAGTAAAGTAAAATATAGTGACATGCAGCAAACGAGAATGAAAATAAAAAGCTTTTTCTTTTTACTTTTATTGTTATTATTATTACTGTTATGTTTCCTGCTTTGTGTCCTGTAGAGCCAGGTCCAAACTATGGACTTTAGTAGGGCAATTTTCTGGGCAACTTGTATGTTGATGTTACCTGGGACACTGTTAGTAAAATTGTCCATTTCTTTTCTTAGGAGGCCCAGAGTTCTGATTACTATTGGTGCAGTCTTGGTCTTCATTCCCCACATCCTGTTAATCTCCAGGTCCTTGTATTTGGACAATTTCTCGATAATTTTCATGGAGGCCTTTCTCTCAGATGATACTGCTATGTCAATAAGCATACACTTTCGGAATTTCTTGTCTTTTATGATAATATCAGATCTGTTGGCTTTTATTTCCCTGTCAGTTTCAATTAGCATGTCCCAGAGGATAGTTACATCGTTATTTTGGGTAACTGTGTCTGGTTGGTGGTCATACCATCTCTCAGTGGTTTTGATTTTGTATTTCTTGCATATCTTCCAGTGCACATATATCACTACTTTGTTATGTCTCTCGGTATATTCATTATTGTTGTTATTACATACAGACTGTTGTCCTCATCTTTATCATTATAATCACAACATTAGTCATTGTGTTCTCCAACCTTCTTCAGGTGGCTGCTGATGAGTAAACTTCAGGGAAGTTTGAACTAAACACTTTATTTAATCTACAGGCCTATCTTATCTTGTTGCTATTTAGTACTGCTTGGTTATTACTAGCCTTGCTTCCACCGAGTCTAAATCTGTACTACCCAGTTCATGGATTGAACTTACAATTACTGTTACCAAATACAGATAAACCAACACTTTAATCCACTAAGCTATTACTACAATGGGGACGACAGCTGAAATTTTGTGATGATAATAATAATAAAGATCAGGATATTAGTCTGAATGATTTTTAGATACCTTATTTTACCGACACACCAATCCCAAGGGTCATTTTGTGCCAAATCAGGTAGTTTTAAGATTTCTTTTTATTTTGTGTTTATTTGCAGAAAAATTCTTTTATAATTCATTATTATATAAGGGTGTAGATGTAATTCAATTTTAGTTGCATTTTGTAACTGGGTGTTTATTCGGTTTCTGTTATGTACCGTACCTATGAACACTAACGGGTATGTCCCAATCCTCATAAATACATTGGACACTATTGTAAGTGGGGGTAATGTGCTGTCTAAGTAGTCCACCACTAACAGTGGTTTACCTACTTCACACTGCTGGCGAGTATTGTATTTTGTTGATGTTATAAAGATTACCATTTCCAACTTGCATTTTGGTTATTCCTCATTCAGTAACCCTTTCTAGGTTACAACAGTTACCTTTTTATATTTTGGGGTAGAGTTTTGTTACTTTTAAGAATTCTAGAATGGCTTTGGGTTAAACACTCTCAAAGAGACGTCTAAGGTTGGGTACATTGTAGAAGTATTTTTGCATCAGTACCAGTTTTTTTGCAGTTAATCAAAAAATGTTGACAGTGGTTACTTCTTAGCAGTTTGTGCATTATGGAGGGTCTTCATTTTTTTTTTTTTTTTTTTTTTTTAGGAGAAAGGAGTGGGTTATATGGGTGTGTCTGACAGATTCTTGTAAGTGTGACATCATCTTTTCTTGAGTGTCTAAAGCAATGATGTTGTACTGTCAGAATGGGATTTATTTTATATAGTTTGTTGTTCATGTGCATTCCATGACTTTTGCCTTTGAGTTAATTGTGGCTTTCAAGACTTTAATGGGGGGTGAATTCGATATGTTCATTGAGAGGGATTTCTTGACTGCCTTATCAGCCCTGCTATTCCCAGGGATCCCAATATGGCTAGGGATCTAGTCAGAATGAAAAGATTATAAATAATGATAACTCCTCATTCCAGCAATTCAGACAGAAAATTATATATTTTAAGTTTACAAAATATAATTGTTACTTGATTTGTTTATTAGGGCTTATCAACCCTTTGTGGGTTATTTAAAGCCAAAACTTATTTTGGATTGTAGGAGATTGCTTACATTATCTGGTGTTCCCAAGTGTCCCCACCCATCTAAATACTAACAGGACTCAACACTGCTTAACGTCATACACTATATGAACCTTTCTTGCCACTAAGCTTTTTCCCACCCTCAAAATAATCAGAAATATCCAAAATTAAACAGAGAATTTTGTCATTGACAAGAAAATAAACATTTTACTATTGTAAATGACAAGAAAAATATTTTACTCACTGTAAAACTTTCACAGCCTGTTCCACATGATGTTCACTAAACAAGAAAATTACAAAGAGTTTCTGAAAGGGAAAAAAAAAAAAACAGAAATCATTATTCACAAAATACAAATAGAAAAACAAACACTATTCTAAAGAACATGGCATTAAGAATGAGTTCAAACTTTATCACTTTCTTTGTACTCTTCCATGAAATAATAGATTTGTTTTTCACTATACAGTACTTATTGTAACTCCTAATCATCCATTAGATCTTCCACCCAATTATGTCAGCAGAAGACTTTGTATAAATGACTAACATGACATTGTTAACCATTATCATTCAGTATGTAACTTAATTGGCTGTACAAAAAGTTTCTCCTGCCACTGAAGGTGACTCTGATCCCTGAACAATAGTGTGTTTGAATTTCATAGTTGTGTTGCCATATCCTGCTATGGCAACAGAAAACATCTTTTGAGTGAAATCAACAATAAGGATATTGCAATTGAGAGGCCTTGAAAAAGGAAAGGGAAGTAATAAGAATAATGCAGTGTGCTAAAGGTTAAGTAAAAAAAAAAATGAGAGCTCAACATTGATAATCACAATGAGATTCAGTGAGTCAGCAAAAATGACCAAAGACAAGAGAATGGATATAAACAGACAATGAATCATGTATTTATACTTCGAGGCATGATGATGGAAGAGTTAAAAGCTTGGCAAAAATAGGATGTAAGGATAATGGGGGAGAAGAGTGATTAATCTCAAATCATACATGGGAACAACTGAATGTTGACCCTGGTGATCCAAAGGATATGCACATTGACCCAGGTGATCCAAAGCAGATGCACGGTTCTATCCCATAGCAGTAGTCCTTCAAGGTTCAAGCCCACATAAGACATTTAGGATTACATATGCAGATTTTCAAAGCTTATATTTTAGTCTGACAAAACCATCTTATTCTATATGGGATTTAAACAAGAGTAAGTTAATAAACATCAATAATATATAATGCCAAAGTTTTAAAGAAGTACATGGTTTTCTAGACATTGCTTTTAGATTTAAAAAACAAAAAGATTTATAGATTGAAGATTTTAAACATTAGAAATTTTATATATATATATATATATATATATATATATATATATATATATATATATATATATACTAGCAGTAGAGCCCAGCGTTGCCGAGGATGTAACAGTAAGACATAGATCAAGTATCGACCATCATAAAGACTGAAAAATAAAATTGACAAAGATTATTGTTTAAGTTTGACGGACACGCATGTCTTAGTTTTTTTTTTTTTTTTTTTTTTTTACGAATTGGTCAAACCCAAATTCAAAAAAAAACATTGTTTACAATCGTTATGAGTCTATCGATTGGTGAATAGAATTTTATTATAAACAATTGTCTTGTAAATGGAATTTTTAAAGCATTCTGAATGTAAATAAAAAAAAAAAAGCGTGCAAGACAATAAAAATACTACCTGCCGAAAAAAAAAAGTGGATGTTTGTTTTATCGGCTGAAAATGTAAGAAATCTGATCCCATATATAAAGGAAACACACACACACACACACACACACACAAACAACCTGGGTTTTTAACCTAAGTCACTCCACGGAATCGCTAAAACATAGAGCATAGTCTGATGAAAAAAGACTCCAAAGTTTATGAAAACAAAATTTTATCGTCAAAATGCTTATGTTTTTATGAAGAGGATAGACTAAATTTTTTTTAATTATTTTTTTTAAAATTTTTCCATCTTTTCGAATATTCTAAATTTTGATTTAAAAAACCTTGTTTCTCTTTGTCGCAAAAAAGGGGTAGTAAATAACATAGATAATTTTTAGCACGTTTTTTTGTATTTACACACATTAATTTGGAAAATCTTGCAAAAATAAAAATAATTGTCAGATGTTAATGAAACTTTCAGAAACTATTCACACATGATCGAAATTATTATAAATATGTTTTTTTTTATTAAAGTCATGGCAGAAATATTTTTTTTATATTTATTAACACCCCATAACTAATTTTATGAAAAACTCTAGAAATTCGAGACCATCGGTTTTAGTGATTACAATAGTTGAAAGCACAAGGCTTTGAAGAATGCAAATCATGTTTTTGTTTTGTTTTTTTTGGCCAACGTACCTGAAAATCAGCTGTGAATTGTAACATACAAAACTCAATAAAACAAATATATTATTTAGTTTCAAATGCTTTTATTTGTTTTAATTTGTTTTTATGAATATGGACAATATTTTCTGAAAGCAAAAATTTTTTTCAACGAAAATTGAATTTTTAATACAATTATTTCTTATTTCTTTAATTTTAAAAAGATTTTTAAAAAATGTTTAAATTGAATTTTAAAAAATATTTTAACATTAGTTAAAAGCAACATCAACCTTTCAAAATGTCCGTGTGAGATTGTCATTGTCTAGCGCTTTGAAAATTGTATAATTTGGACCAATCAGATTAGCCATGGTAATTAAGAAATGTAATTTTGTGTTTATAGTCGGACAGTAATTATCAAGGCACGGAAGACCAACCAGAATACAATTTAGTTGCATTATTTGAGTTCAGCATTGTTCTCCGCTGTTAAGCCCTTTACTTTTAAAAACACGTATGGAGAAGTTAATTTGAGTTTTCAATTTCAACTGAGAAGGGTACCTACAAGTAACAGTATCATCTTATGAAATTTAACTACTGCTAAACTTTAATTTATATGATCTTATTTTTATATTAATCTCAGTTATGACATTTTTTCCATAAATGAAATATCAAAATTAATAATAAAATGAATGGAAATACAAATAACACAGTAAAATGTAATAAATGTACATAAAATTATAGTAGTTTATGTACACTTCTGATAAAATTTCATAAGAAAGGTACCTAAATTAATTAGATACCTTTTTCTTATGAAATTTAATCTCACTATTAACAGTCTTATTTTTTAATTTCTTTATATTTTCCATAAAGCATCGTAAACATAAAAATGAAAGCTAAGTACATTCCTACATTTTTTAGCCGATTTCAACAAAACTTCACAGGACTACATAAAATTACCATGTGGTGGTTCTAACTGGGCCGAAAATTGGAAAAACAATTGTTTCTGCACGAAATCAATTTGAAAACAATTAAGAGGCATCGCTGTCACCAGAATGAAAGGGGAACAACTCATATCGAGTTAAACTTATTATAAAAACCCAGGTTGTGTGTGTGTGTGTGTGTGTGTGTGTGTTTATATATGGGATCGGATTTCCTACATTTTTCAACCGATTTCAACAAAACTTCTCTTTTTTGGCAGGTAGTGTTTCTTATTGTCTTGCACTTTTTTTTTTCTTTATTTTTACATTCAGAATGCTTTAAAAATTCCATTTACAAGACAATTGTTTATAATAAAATTCTATTCAATCGGTAGACTCATAACGATTGAAAACAATGTTTTTGTTTGAGTTTGACCAATTCAAAAAAAAAAAAAAAAAAAAAAAACAAAAAAAAAAAACAACAAAAACTAATTAAGACATGCGTGTCCGTCAACCTTAAACAATAATCTTTGTCAATTTTATTTTTCAGTCTTTATGATGGTCGATACTTGATCTACCTCTGTTACATCCCCGGGCAACGACGGGCTCTACTGCTAATTAAGTAATAAAATGCCAGAAATATACCTACAATCGAATAACCTTTTACTTATCCTGCTGGTAAATAATTATTTTAAAATTTTAAACTCATATAAAAAACCCTGATGTAAAAACAACTTTCTACATAATTGCTAACTTTTTTGAACAAGGATCTGCATTTAAACTACAATAAAGAATTTTTTTTTATTTATGAGAAATTACAAATGTGGTAAAAATAATTATTAATAAGGTTATTATTTATTAAATAATGCCAAAGCTAAGCAATAAAAAGTTTAGAATAACTTAACTGATTATTTAAACCTAGTTTTTAAAATCATGACATGTTTGTTTTTTTACTTTGTCCAACTCTTTGTCCATTCGTCATTTAATCAGTCCAACTCTTTGTCCATTCCATTTAATCAGTCCAACTCTTTGTCCATTCCATTTAATCAGTCCACTCTTTGTCCATTCGTCATTTAATCAGTCCAACTCTTTGTCCATTCGTCATTTAATCAGTCCAACTCTTTGTCCATTCGTCATTTAATCAGTCCAACTCTTTGTCCATTCGTCATTTAATCAGTCCAACTCTTTGTCCATTCGTCATTTAATCAGTCCAACTCTTTGTCCATTCGTCATTTAATCAGTCCAACTCTTTGTCCATTCGTCATTTAATCAGTCCAACTCTTTGTCCATTCGTCATTTAATCAGTCCAACTCTTTGTCCATTCGTCATTTAATCAGTCCAACTTTTTCCATTAGTCATTTAATCAGTCCATTTTGTCCATTCATTTAATCAGTCCAACTTTTTTTTTTCCATTTTGTCTTTCGACACTCTAACCTACTATCATTATTTTATATAATTTGTTTTTAGCCACATTACAGTAAAATGTTATAAACGAAAAATATACAAATAGATGTCTTATTATTGAGAAAAGAATTGGAATTGAGAACTTACTTGTATGTGCATTTTGATGATAGCCTTACCAATAAGGGTAGCGCCAAAGAATGTCCAGAATGGAATCAGAAAATGACCACACATGATACCAGCCAGATCAAATAAAGGATTTGGAATCTGGAAAATTAAATTAAGAAACAATTATAAAAATATAAATAACAATGAGAAAAAAAAATAATCAAACTTAAACCATTCAGTCTCAACAACTCCGCAACATACAAGTTTTCTTTATGTTATTTAACGCTGTAATATTGAATGTTAGCCAGTCAAATATTGATCAGTAACCTCTCAAACACTAATGTTGAATATTGTTTCTCGTATATAGCTGTGTTTTATTTGTTGAGGCAGGACCAGGATTAATCTCACACAAAGCAAGGATTTGTCATAATGACTTGAGACAAGGTCTTACAAGGTTGGATGCTCTTCATGATGCCTAAGTCACTGAATGTTTCTATCAAGACCCCATCTCTAGGAAGGTTGCCATTCAAGGCTTGATACCCCATCCACACACACATATATATAAAAAATCATTCAGGTAGCAAGTATTCAGCCAAACAAGGTTGATTAAAAAAAAACTGACATGGTTTGTCAGTTTAATATTTTTATTAGATTTTTCCAATTTTCAGATAAGGTGTTGAGTATTGTGCTCGAAGTTGTGGCTAAACTCTCTGAAGTTCATATTTTGTTATTTTGTATATGAATCCAGCCCATTTGAGTCTGGAGTTGTAAACATGGCTTCTCCAGAAACACAGAAGAATTTCTATATTATATGTAAGACTCTTCCTTTTTGTTTCTCCTTACACTGCTTGCTGTATAAATATATGATATATTGTTCTCCACGTGAAACACATGTATATATAATATTATGTATACCTTAGTGGTGGTATAAAACTCTCTCTGAGAACAAAATATGTTTCTCATTCCATTTCCTTTCAGCCATTCCATCCGTGATTTATGGTGATGTTATATCATGGATATAATAATGCTCATAATGGGGGAATACAAATGGGAGAATAAACCTCTCTACCATGGCTCTTTCCTGTTATAATGGTGAACACAACATGATAATTGTCCAAAATGTGATATTATCACCCATTAACTGTTGGATAAGATGTATTATTATTTACCTCCATTATATGCACACACACACACACACACACACACACAATGTGGTAGCTGGTTTAGACACCAACCATCTGCCCATGCACCAGGTTGTACTGGGTTACATGTTACCAGTAACAGGCCTAAGCATAAGCCTGTCATGCCCTAAATTATAATGCATTATAATAGGATGTTATTCCTAAATCTTTGATATTTGAATCTATAAAATTATCAGAACATTCTAATAAAATATTAATAAATTCTATGTAAATTTGAACTATTTCACCCAGTTACTTTTGTTATTTACCAGTTATTTTACAGACTCATAAAAGATGCATGGCTGAAAACTTTCAAAAAACAATTCTGTCAAAACAACCTAGTAACTTAAAATTTTAATCTTTTTGAAAAATAATTTTTTAATTGAATTAAATGAAAAATGTTTTTAAAAATTGAAAATATATACTGCTTTTCTGAAAGCATATATATATATATATATATATATATATATTATATAAAAGGGAGATAACTATTTTTTTTGCATTTATCAAAAATACAGGTTTATATTAAAATGAGTTTGACTGTCAAAAAAAAATTATGGCAATATATTTAAATATTTTTATAACTGTGTTGTACTTATAAAATATCAAGAACCATATTACTCCAAATTTTCTTGTTTATGTTCAAATGATTTTTAAATGTTAAACTAAAACTGTTTCCATGCCATACTTAAGAACAATTAGAATAAGTCCTGTGGTTATGACAGTCCCAACCTACAATTCATGGTTATGGCACAATCTCGATTAATCTTGTTTTGACTTCTGTTTGCTTTATACATATGATGCAAACAATGCAGCAAAAGAATATATTGTGCAGTGGAAGAATACATTGTTATATGGCAATAGAATGAGGAAGGTGACTAGGGTCAGTTCCTGGTTGTACGCCATATTGGATTGTTGTACATTCGTACTCTTTCATTTGTACTGCATTTGTCAACAAGTGTAGTGTTGTGTTGGCAATGAATATACACGCAGCTTAAAACAATTTAATTTCCTTATATGCATTATTTTCATTTCACTATGTGTATTATATTTATGATCTCCATGTGTTTTATTTAGGCCTAATTATGTTAACATATGTCATAGATATAAATGTCTTATGTCCAAGATTATTACTTTACAATTGCATTAACATAGATGAACTTATGGAAAATCATGGGTACATTCCAACTTAACGGAAAATTTAAATCTGACACATTCTATGAACAGAACTCCGTTGTAAGTCGAGGACCCCATGTACAATGTAATTTTTAATATATAAATAAACCTGTATTTTTAAATTACAAACAAATAAAAAAGGTTTTTTTTTTCCACTTGTATTGAAATTTTTACATATTATATATAATGTGTGTATACATTGAAAAGGCAAGATTTACTTACTGAAGCACAGGCTAAAATACCCCAGAAGCCAACTTTTTTAATCATGTTATGAATGCCCACTTTGGCACGATCAAGGAAGCCCTGAAATTTAAATAAATTGTTGCAAGTGATACAGAAAAAAAGTTGAAAAATTAAAAAAAAAAAAAAAAAAAAAAAAAAAGAAAAAACACATCAAAGAATTTAGATTTGAATTAACATCCCATTTACAAATGCTATATTTCCAATACTATCAATAATTAAAGCAACTCAATTTACAAATCAATATTTATCAAATATATACATATACATTATATATTCACATATAGGAGAAAGATGTATGACAAAATGGGAAAAATATTTTGTGCCACACATCTTTTAGGACTTCATGGAACTAAATTTGATTATTTTGGCATGACTACACATATACACGAACAAGAGATGCTGAGAATTCTAAATTTTAAATTGCATAAAAAATAAGAAAAAAACGAGAAGTAATTTAAAATTGGATGCAAAGAAAAAACAGAAAACATTTCACTCACAAGTTCGCCAGGGTTGGTGGTTCTTTCTCGAACCAATTCTTCCAGTTCTTCTAACTCTTCTTCTTCAGCACTTGATCCAGACAGGCGAGACGTCCGTGCCATGAAATATGGAGGCAATTCACCAATGGCCGTACCAGCACCCTGAAATGAGTTGGGGAGGGGGCAATAGAGAGGGAGAGAGAGATTAAGTATACGATAGAAAATAGTATTGATCAATTTAAAAGTAATTAACACTTACTAACAAGAATTTTTTTTTTTTTTAAATCCATACAAGAAAAAAAGTACAAAAACTTATTTCCTGTTTAGGAGTAAAACAGATAAAATAAAACAAAAATTAAGGGATTTGTTCAACTTCCTTTTTTGTGTGTGTGTGTGTGTGTGTGCATCCAGAAATGTGAAGATTGACTTTTAGTGATATTTTTTTAGAGTTGTCTTAAGAATTTGGAATGAATATATATATATATATATATATATATATATATATATATATATATATATATACCTGAACAACAATATCATGACTAAGGTGCATCATTCAATCCATAGATGCATCTCATCAGCTTCCATACCTGTGATTTAGGACATGGATCAGAAGGTAAATTAATTAATCTTGCAACAAATTCTAAGATGAAATCAACAGTCTGCAGTTGCTGGTTCATAACCGATGCAGTTAACATTACCAATGATCATACCAGCACTGGTAATGCTTTTTTGGGGCCGGGGGGGGGGGTAACAGAGAGATTAGGATAGAAAATAGTATTGATTAAATTAGAAGTAATTAACACTTCTTACTAACAAGAGTTTTTTTGTTTGTTTTTTTTAAATTCATAAAAGAAAAAGTGTAAAAACTTATTTGCTGTTTAGAAATAAAACAAATAAAATAAAACAATGTTCAATTTCCTCCTTTTTTTTTTTCTTTGGTGCTTCCAGAAATGCAAAGATTGACTTTTAGTGATATTTTTTTTTTAGAGTTGTCTTAACTTTTGAAGAGAAGCATTGCTGTTCTTTAATAATTTATTCATACCAACCTCCACACATTTCTTTATGCCACTTTGACAAAGATTTTCTTTTTTTTAAATGAAAAATACCAGAAAAATCTTTGCTCGTTTAGTTATTAGTAGAAACTGAAGAAAAAAAATTAAATCTTATCATATATAACCCATAACAATACACTCTGAAGTCATTTGATTAATTCCACTTTGACCCTGATCACATTGTGATTGGAAGATATACACAGTATGGATGTGGTTAGAACATCCATGAAGTGTCAGTTTGCTGTACACAGGGTTCCCACCGATCTGTGTAAAAAAAATTCCAGGACTATGATAAGAATTTTCAAGAATTGAAACTGATGCGCACACACACCAATGATCATTAATTTCAAAAATCAAAATCTTGTGATTTATCTTTTAATAGTTTGACAGAGAAGACATTCAAAGGAAAGCTACCAATGATTCCAATAATTCATGTCAGTTGAAAGCAGTGATGAAATCAAAGTGTTGAAGGCTAAAACACAGCTGAAGGCAGACCTGGTTGTTACACATTTTGTGTAGCATTCTACACAGTTTGGAGTTCTATGCTTGAAAATTTTGAATTACAAACTAATTCTTACTGCTACACATTTCAGTTATCTAGACTACTCATGGTTTGCAAATGTCACAAAAATTCTTGCCTGATGCACATTTCTTGTGAAGTTAAGTATATACAAACACACAGGAATGATGACCTCCCCTCCCCCCCAAAAAAAGTCCCTCAAACAAAGCTTATTAATGGCTGAGTCACAGAAATAATTGAACCCATTCCATTAACTTTGAGAACCACAACTGTGTAACATTTTTCAGTTAGCATACACTTGATAGATGTGTAATGGCAAGAAGTGTAGAACTAGTCAAATACCACCATCAAGAGTGACAGAGTGTTCATACCACACAGCTAACCTCTTTTCAGCATCTTTCTGTGCATTGATTTCCACCCCCACTATTATAAATAAAATGTCAATTGAGGAATGTACTGATACAGCTCCGTTTTTTAGGAGCCAACATGACGATATGCTACCCTTGTGGGTATCACTACTTAACTAGCTTTACTATGTAAATAATAACTGTTTAGTTACCCAGTGTATCCAATAATAAACCAGGTTGACTTCTTTCCACCCTCATCCTGAAATCTGTCAGTGTGAAAATAGCAACAACAACCACGAACCTCTTTCTTTCATACAAATACAACTTTAAAATTAAGGAACAATCGAAAGTATTACATTTGATTTTGTCAATTCTGGATTCCCTTTGTTTTAGTTTTCTTCTCTTTACTACAAAATATTTTTTTTTCACATATAAGTTAGATAAACTTGTGGTATTATTGGTCTACTTGTAAAATCTAAATTAACCTAATCAAACTTCCAAGCCTTTCATATTAAACCTACACGGTTCCAGTCAACTGGGTAGTCACTGGAGATTTCACTTGTATATATAATCTATGCCAGTAATTGCATTATACACATCTGTAAAAAGCTGGAGAGTTTACTGATCAAAACAATAAAAATGATGAAAACTGTTTAAATAATTTGTCTAATATTTGGTAGTTCTAAAAATGAAAACATTCCTTCACATAATTTAAGCTGAATTCATGTATAGTGTGACTCCTGAATTATATTTTTTTTTTTTGGTGAAAACCTGATTTTTTCATATAGCTTGTACATAATGTGACAGCCAACCTTTTGGTCAATACTAGTAGGCCTACCGTAGTCAAATATTGCAGTACTGGGCATCATCCTGGACCTATTTTATAGCAAATAATTGGTCTTCATTGTTTTTTGTATAAAGCTACCCCAAAATGGGGATAAAAATCACTTACTATAAATAAATCTGATATGAAGATTTAGATACTGTACAAACAGAAAAGACAATCAGGTGGCCACAGTTGGAAGATGAAATCCAAACTAAAGGAGCTTACCAGTACCATTAAGGTTAGCCAAAGGTACCATAAGAATGTAGGTCTACCAGGTAGGTTACAGTCACCGAAAATGCATGAATTTTAACTCCTCCAGAAAAATATTTACCTGTGTATAATGCAACCAGTCACTGAAAACAGGACTTTTTAACCTCTGCAAAAATAATTACCTATGTATAGTGGGACCCCCAATTTTTTCCATAAAAACACTTTCACTATACTCATATATATATATATATATATATATATATATGGTATTTGATAAAATACTTGAGTTTGCTTGTCATAGGACTGCTTTCATGTTAGTAATGTTACTTTTGCCATTGGGAGCAATATCAGGCTTTGTTATTTTTGGTCCAATGAGACTGTTTAAGCAGGCGTTCATCACATATGAGTAAGCAAAAAAAAAAAAAAAAAAAAAAAAAAAAAGCACATGGCACAGTGGATAAAGGCCTTAGTTAGATCCAGTGACAGGACCTAAAGAGTGTGAGTTAAGGCAGTGGAGAACTTTCAGGGGGAAATTAACAGGAGATAACTGATAACTGACATCCATTAAACATGGCACGTGGAACTAGAACAGTCTACCCCAGTAAGCGAAATAAAGGGTTCAGTTCGACATTCCAACCACCTGAAGAAGGCCGGAGCTTACAACGGCCGAAATGTTGTAATAAATATGGCAACAAAGATGAGGACAATAGTCCGAATAATGTAAATAGTGTACATAATACCTCATTGCAGAAATATAGACAGATAACAAAGCACATGTTTTGTGCATCACAAAGTAACTGACACTGGCTTATGCATATATTAGTTGCAGCTCATTATAAAGAAATTCTAAAGTTCAATCTTTGATGTATGACGACTTAACTTCTCATTAATCATTTTTTTTTTCAGAGAGTTGAACATGCCTACCTTGCACAGTTCCAGGTCACCCGTGAGCAAGATGTAGCACTTGTCCACTTTCAAATGCCAGAGGAGTCCAATAATTCGATATTTGAGAAACCTTAAATCAAGCAGCATAAAATGCACATGATATAGCAATCAATTTGTGATAAAGCCACATGAATCGATTGAGGAACCATTACAAAAAAAATGCAAATAAAAAACCTGATGGTCGAAGCAATTATAGGACAAATCAACCATCGATCAATGACAAGCCATTACTATTATTTACCTAAGTCTCTGAAACGGTCAGATAAAAGGTAAGCACTTTCAAACTGTAAAATGCCTTAGTAGCATTTTGTGATTAACAATTGTTACCGTTAGCAAATCCTCAAATGTGTAAATAAACACAATCTGATTGCAGTGTCAAACAATTTTCTATTTTCTTGCTATCAAACAATTGTGACAAGTGTAACAAATCTCTGACTTGCCATTAGAAAAAAAAATATATAAATATATAGACTTGGATAATGGTGACTACAAACTGTATGATTCAAAAAGAATTTAATAAAGTTTAAAAAGAAAAATATTAGAATAATAATAAACTAGTAGTATAACCCATCTATGACAGGGTCTTTTATTACTGGGAATTTTTGCTGTTCAATTGGAGAAGTTTAAGTTTAAAGTCAGCCCACTCGAAAATCAATATTAGTAACAACATTTGAGTGCAATTAAGGCACATCCCCAAATGAGGGGGTTAACAAATTGAATGAGGGGGTGGCCCTGAAAAGGAAACTGTATAATAATAAATAATATTATTGTAATAATTTAAACTATTTTTATTAAAGTTTTTATGAAAGATATATATCCAAGAACAGATAGTAAATAGTAAAACGTTGCTGAGAGTTATAATGGACGGGAAGTAGTGGAGAGCCATTGTCGCCAACAATTTGGGCTCAAAATCGTCACTGAAGAATTATCTATCAAACAAAATAAAATCATCAAAACCAGATGAAAACTGTGCAAATGCATAAACAACATCCAATCATACATACATACACACATTTTGAGAATTATAGATATAGATTCATATTTTAAAAACATTGAACAGTGTGTTAATCAATGTAAGAGTAGTTAATACTTATGACCAATTCTTAATGTGTTAAAATTATACAAGAAAGTCTGTATTTATTTGCATAAGTTAAATATAAAAATCCTTCCAAAACTTGTTCAAGCCATATGCATTGCATGATTGAAAAGATTTTAGGCATTATACATTGCCATCTCCTAATTAACAAGGTAAGAAAAGC